TCGCTTATCCCTAAATTTCATAAAAACCTAAATTACCAAATCACAGATTAACAATTAACAATCACAATCACAATTCACAAATCAAAAATATAAGTCACAACTCATAAATCAAAAATCAAAAATTCAAAAAAACAAAAAAAAAAAAAAAAAAAAACTACAGACTAACAGGAACCTTAAGGAAAAAAAATAGCAAACATTTTGAAGGATTTTTCTGTTAAGTTGAAGAAGAAGGTATACTCTGTTTGAATTCTTGTAGAAGTTTGCTTTTGTTTGTGATGAAAAAGAAAGAAATTGATGAATGAAAGCGAAGGAGGAGGAGAAACCAGATATTTGTTATTGAGAGTCGGTTTAATTAAAATTGAGAAGTCAACAAATGTGGCTATCACCGTAGAAAAACCACATCTACAAAAATGAAGATTGAAAGCAAGGGTGCACGAAGGAACAGTAGAGAACTCATCCCCTCTTTTAATATAGTAGTGATTTACCATTGTTCTTAATTTTTTAAAAATATTTTTTATGAGTTTCTCTCCATCACTTTTGTGATTCAATTAAAATTAAAAATTGACTCATTTGATAGGACTCATAATATTTTGTTACTTAGACTTATATCAAAAACATCACTAATACTAGATAATATTATTCAATTAATAATTAAACATCGTGTATATATTCGTTAGAAAAAGAGAGAAAAATCAATTAAGAGTTACAACTGACATTATCAGCTTGTGGAGATAAGAGAGAAATCAATTATATCCACTTATTGATTATCCGACAATTTTTGGTTGTGCATTTCTTATTAAAATAGTCAAAATTATAGTTGTTAAATTTTGATGGGATCAATATGCTTGACATGGAGAGACCACCAAGCGATTCACCAAGAATAAGACAACATACTGGTAATTCAACTACTTTTTTAAATGTGCATTGATAATTAGAATTGTCATGACCATGTTGCACATTTTGAATTGGATCGACCTATTTTACCCAAATAAGATTGCAAGTGAATTGGTTTAGAACATAGGTAACGAGAGTAATGTTATTCACAGTGAAAATTATCGATCACCCCAGATGGCATACATGTTGCAGTTTGTTATTTGATACATGAGACAATAAAAAAACTATCACATGAATACATTAAATAACAAAATGTCACATGTATGTCACATAGGGTGACTACCGGTAGTCTTCACTATAAATAACATGATGCAACCGAGACCTTCGCTTTGAGAATCTACAATCAAATTATTGAACTGATTTACAAAAATACTTCGTTATATTGTTTGTAACATAAACCCACGACATTCATGAATTATATAGACCAACAAAGTAAGCATTCAACAGATAACACATATCCATGGCAAAACCTTTGGGAGTAACTTCCTTTTTGTCGTCTCTGTTTAGTTAATGCAGTACGAAAGAAATGATACGAAAAGTAAGCAAGATATCTTTCCTGGAATTCAGGACGATTTGGGGTGGGAGTTTCAAAGCAAGGAGAACTCACAAGTCACAGTTGAGGGTTGAGGAACTCGTGCAGACAGGAAAACAGTATCTGGGCTTTTGATCCGCTGGCAAAATATGCTGAAATTCTAATTATAAAACATGGTTCATGTAGTGAATGAATAGCATAAAACAAGACAAAACACCTTGGAGAGATGAAAGTATGCATTTCTGGATTATAATTGCAAGCTACATATAACAGAATGGAGAACTGGTATTTTTATGAGGGAAGCAATCACTAAAGTAAGAACCAGATGATTTATACAGTCATGGTCAAGTCTTTAACGTGTACAATGATGACAGTTATATCATCCGTCCGGTTTTCGTGCTCTAACCATAATTTGTATGATTCTCTGGCAATGGAAACACATGCATCCCTGGGATCAGCATGCTTAGTCACCTGCAAAGATGGATGGAAACAACAAAGTCAGATATAAGAGAAATTGTGTCGTCAATGAGGACCTCGACTCATCAAGAAGAAAGTTTCTATTCTCTTAAATATAATACATGAAATGGCATGCAAAAGAGTGTCAGCAAGTGTTGCTAAATTGAATATTGACAAAAAATACATGCAGGGATAGAGTTTATAGATTTCCTTCATCAGCAAACTGAAAACAAGATTTAAAGGATTTCAAATCATAACCAAATTCTTTATCAAATTGACTGCATTACAAGAAACTGTATTAAAACAACAATTTATTGCATCAATGTTGATATTGAATGCAACTGATCACTTAATTCTCGAGTCCGTGGCTTTCTTAAAAAAGAAAAAATAAAACAGCTGCAACAAGATGTATCAGGAAGTGCACCAACTCTCCAATGAACTGAAGTTGGACAAGAACCAAGTCTTTAGTCCATTGAATTTGATGTGCATATGGCCTATTGAAAATATCCCACTGTTGTTGACATATGTCATGTTGAAGAGTAGTTTGTTAGCAACTGCCGACCCGCATTCCAATAATTGTTTCATTGAGTTGAATGAATTCAATGAACTCAAGTTGGTACTAGAAACGAGGATCAATACGGATACAAGAAATGGAAACTGGAAAAGAATAACAACTCCTTGTTTTAACAAATCAACATATTGAGCTAATTTTCAAATCCAAAAAACGTAATTGTTTAGACCACTTTATGGAAAGATTGTTGCATCCATAATTAATGTTTTAAATAAAAATTTTCCAAGCATGGAGCTATAGAAAAATGGCATGTTTTTACGTAACTTCTAAAAATGTGACTTTCAAATACTTGTTCGTGCGTTTTAAACTCTGTGGAGTTCTACACGTCATTAACCTGCATATGCATTATTTCTGGATTAAATTAACCATTAAGAGCAATCCATGAAGAAACAACCTATAAAATTCCTAAATATTGATGCTGCATTTGTACATATGGGAAGGAACAGATGTACTGCTATACATAACTAAAAAGTATCACATACCATGTCCACCACATTTTGGCTGGATAGGAACTCAAAAACCCCATCACTTGCTACAACAAAGAACGGATGGTTAGGCATAAGTTGCACTGTTAACACCTCTGGATCAGCAACCACACCAATCTTCTCAGCTGTGCTATCTCCAATACTTCTTGTAAATGCAGTTCCAGGAAACATCCCATTTTGCACCCACAACCTTGGTGGATCACCCCCCTGCGTTTCCTCATCCCCCCAAGATTGAATTCCTGGATCCTTAAGCCCTTCAACTTGATCAACGCTCAGAACCCGAGCCCCACAAAGCTTCACCCGCTCACATTCATCTTTCCTGAATGGCGTTTGGTCATATGACAGATCTTGAGCAAGAACTCTGTTTCCTTCCTTGATAGCAATCACTGCTCGAGAATCACCCACATTTGCCACGTATAGTCTATCCTCGATGACAAGAGCTGTAATAGCCGTTGTACCACTCATGGAATCATCTATATCACTACTGTGAAGTTCATCATTTGTTGACAAAAATGCAGCTTTATAGGCCTTAACGGGATCATCAAATAATGTAACATCATTCGACAAAATTTCAACCAGCCTATCCTTGACAAAATTTGAGCACTGTGTGCCAAACTGTCCATGCCCATCAAACACACCAAAGAAATGTGCATCCGGGTTGCCTTGAATCTTTGTTCTAATACAATAACTATCTTGATTCTCCTTTTCAGGGGTTTCAGGATAATACCCACGGTGTGTAAGCACGGAATACTCTAACCTATAATTTTGAAAAGGAACATCCACAACCTCAACCTCTAAAGAACTGTTAGCAAGTATATACGTATCCTTACCCCTAAATACATCCAAATCTTCCTTCTCATCACCACTCGAGGATTTAGGAAACCTGATACAACACTTCCCATGAACACACCCCATTTTCCAATGTAATTTGAAGATATCAACAAAGAAAAGCTCATAATACCCACAAAATGTTCGTCGAAAGTTCCCAGAGAAACTTAGGGATTTAGAACCAAACCCACAAAAAGACGTAATTCTTAACGACGATGGCAAGATTGGATTTCTTCATATTCCACATTTAGTTTATTTTCACAATGGATTATCCAAAAAAACCCACAAAAAGTGGTTTCTTGGAATGGAATTTTGATTACCAAATGATGAGGCTTTGTAATCTCAAACAAAAAGGGTTTTTCTTTTATTTTCCAGTAACCAAAAAAAATTTGATATCAAGATTGGAATAAAGTAATCAACAAACTTTGAGAGAATTTTTAGGTGACGGAAAGGAAATAATATAGGCAAAAAAAGAAAATCAAACCCTAGCAAAAAGCAAGAACTTTTTTGCTTTGATCAAACATAGAAATTGCATAACTTATGGAGTTGGGTTTCGTGGGGTCAGCAGAAGGAAAATCAAGATCATGAACATCAATAAGGAAAGGAAACTATTAAAAAAAATTGGAAAAGAAATTTGGGAAATTACAAAGATAAAGGGGTTTATGAATTATGACTACATAACGAGACAAATGAAAAGAAAGGTTAGAATTGGAGGCTTTTGTTTCATGTGTTTGTTTCTATGTGCATGGAATGTTTGCGAAGCCCACAAATTTTTTCCAATTTCAAATTTTCAAAAAACACATGCGATGTATAGAGACGGGACAGATAAGACAATAGCTATTTATTATTATTATTATTATTATTATTTTCTTCATTTGAATTTTTTCAACTATTCTAACCTCATTTTTTGGAAATTTGCTTTTTTGAATTTGACTGTTATTTTAATATTCACATCTCAACATATCATCGAGATGTAAACAAGTCGAGTCAAGTCGGCCGCGAGTCAAAGTTCGTAGTTTGAGCACGACTCGAGTAAAAATGGATCGAGTTTTTTTTTACTCGAGCCGAGTCAAAGCTCGGCCGAAAAAATGGGACCGATTCATTTTTTTTCTTTTATTTTTTTAAAGGCAGTCGTAGCTGCCTTCAACCCTCGAAGTTGGTAACCCTCACCTAATTTGGCAAAAAAGTAAGCCCATAGAAAAAAAGGAAATAAAAATCATTCAAAAAATATATAATTATATTAGCCTCATATTTAGCCCTAGTTTGATTCCTATTTCTTTTAAAATATATTTTTTTATCTTTTCTTTTCAATCACATATTTTTTAATAAAATAATATTACACGCAATTAAAAAACTTTTTATTCATTTTTAACCACACATTCTGCATTAATCTACTATTCCAAAATGCATTTTACATGGGGTCTCCTTACTTTGTGTCTCCTCTGTGAGATGCCAAATCATACTTCAAAAAGTAATTGACCAACAAATGATACTTTTATTATTACGTAATAATAAACTTTCAAAAGAATTAATTCATAAACTTTTATAAAAGAATTAATTCAAAAGAATTATTACCGTATATAAACTTTTATGGATATTTTAGGGCAAATGTATAAAAATCCCTAAATTCATTTAAAAAATTACGTTCCCAAATATATAGTTTTTCCATATATAAAGATATCAAAATAATAAATATATGAGTTTAAAGAAATAAATTATGGGCCCCTTAAATTTGGCAACAATTATTTCTTTCTTTTATTATTAATTTGATAAATATTTCCATTTTTGGTTTAATGAATTATAAAACGAAGTCTTCTCGAGTCAACCAGTGATCCGATAACTTTAATGTCTCCAAAGTTTCTAAATGATTACTAATGAATTTGATGAACCGGGATGTGTCTTCATAAAGTTGTCCCCTTAATTATGCCCACTAGAATTTTGACACATCGCTTCGATTTCAATATGTAACATTAACCCTATTAAAATCTCACTAAAACTTCATTGCAATTTTAATTTGAGTTGTCAAAACGTATAATCTTTACTAAAAGTGGCACAATAAAATTGTAGATGTCAAGTATCTCGTAAAGTATGACTAAGATAATTGCAGATCCGAACTGAGATTTAATGCCTTCATAGCCACTTACAAAAATACACGTCGCTTTGATTTGGAGGTGTAATATTAAATCCAATAAAATCTCACTAAAACCTTTTATTGCAATTTTACTTTGAGTTGTCAAAATGTGTAATCTTTACAAAAATTGGCACAATAAAATTGTGGATGTCAAGTATCTGGGAAAGTATGACTAAGATAATTGCAGATCCGAATTGAGATTTAATGCCTTCATATCCACTTACGAAAAGACACATCGCTTTGATTTGGAGGTGTAATGTNTTTCATGAAATTCACAATTTTTAAACCATACATTCCAACAACTTTTATCAAAATCTACTAAAAATCTAATTTTTATCTAAATCAAATGGTATCATATCTTCTTTAAAAAAATAGATTTTTGGTGTCGAAACGTATGTAGACGTCTTTCTATTTATTAATGTATTAGGAGATATCGAATTCAAGACAACAAATTTAAGCTCTATAGTTGGTATGTCTGAAATAAGTAAAACTGGATGAAGATCTCAGTCTCACTAGACTTAATTTTTAAGTGTTGCATGAACGTATGTCAAATTATTTCGCCATGTAAAGCTCAAAGAAATGTAATTTTTTAAAGGGGTTGCTTAGAATATAATAATATTATGCAATGAGATTTGATTTGAAAATTAAGAGTAGTATTGACTCTTAATAGTGGATATGCTTGATTTTATTTGATTTTTTTTTTTTAATTACGATTTTCTTCCCTACTCCAACAAATTTTGGCAATAGTCAATACGAGAATCAGCATCGCTCCCAAATAAATTATGGCAATGAAGGAATTTGAATTGATATATAAGTTGTGTGTTGATCGACTAATTGTTTAGTTTCACAATAATGAATTCGATGTGACAACCATAACGACAATGAATGTTCATATTAAACTTAAAGGCTACAAATTGTAAGATAATTTCAAAAGAATTAATTCATTACCGTATATAAACTTTTATGGATATTTTAGGGCAAATGTATAAAAATCCCTAAATTCATTTAAAAAATTACGTTTCCCAAATATATAGTTTTTCCATATATAGAGATATCAAAATAATAAATATATGAATTTAAAGAAATAAATTATGGGCCCCTTAAATTTGGCAACAATTATTTCTTTCTTTTATTATTAATTTGATAAATCTTTCCATTTTTGGGTTAATAAATAAATAAATTATAAAACAAAGTCTTCTGGAATCAACCAATGATCCGATAACTAAACTTTCTTAATGTAATCCCCATGTCTAGTCTCAAATTTTGTCCTAAATTTTCTTTATCCCAAATTATGCGAACTGCCGGATCTAGCTCACTAAATTAGTGAGAAAGTGCTCCACGATGGGTCATTTTTGCAATGAAAAACTTCTATGTAAGTTTGATCTCCAATTGCTCATTCTCTCTCTATTGATTGGATATAATATATGTAGAAAAGCCTCCAAGATTTCTCCATTTGAATTGTAGATGAACAGTTCTATTTACAGTCCAAGAATTAGGTTTCAACTTGTTCCCTAATGTCCTTCAAGAAAAATGTTGAGCAAAACAAGGAAACAAAATCTTTGCCGTCTGGTTAACAAGTGTGATCCCATGGGCATCTTGGATGTGATCTCACGTGCATACAATTAAGCTGCATGATATGCATCTGCCTACTTTACGATCACAAAGGTTTGTGCCTTGCGAGTATTTTTCTTGTACATTTTAATCCTCGAATTTCTTCTTTCTTTTAGCTCGAGACCCCTCTTACTTGCACACATACATCATTCATCTTTAAATTATTGCAATTGTATTCCCAAACTTTCCAAATGATGGATTTAGCTCTCGAAACTTGTGAATCACCTCTGATTTCTCTCTTCATACTTCTAATCGATCATATGCAATCCAATTGATATTAAATTGTTACTAATCAGTTCCAATTATGGTCCAAAAATTTAATTTTCACGCTAGTTGCATTCCAATGCATTCAAGTCGAAGATTTACCTATAATGAACATATTTTAACCTAACTTCAGTAGATATTCACTCATTTAGCCATAAATAATTAAGAATGAAGGCAAATAAGTGTATAAATATTGTTATCTCATGCTACTAATATATGCTTATCCACTCACCAAATGATTACTAATGAATTTAACGAACCGAGATGTCTTCTTAAAGTTGTCCCCTTAATTATGCCCACTAGAATTTTGACACATCGCTTCGATTTGGATATGTAATATTAAACCTATTAAAATCTCACTAAAACTTCATTGCAATTTTAATTTGTGTTGTCAAAAGGTATAATCTTTACTAAAATTGGCACAATAAAATTGTAGATGTCA